TTCACTTCGCGCTTGAAGAAAGAGCATTTCTTTGGACTCAACTTTAAATTTGCTCCACGCAGCTTATCGAGTACCTTTTCCAATTTCCTTAGATGATCGTCAAAATCCCGTCCAACAATGATGATGTCATCGAGGTAAACTAGGCAGGTTTCGCCCAGCAGTCCCGCCAGCACCTGTTCCATCAAACGCTCAAAGGTTGCCGGTGCATTGCATAATCCAAATGGCATCACCTTAAATTGCCAGAGTCCCTTCCCAGTTGAGAATGCGGTCTTTTCCTTGTCCTTGGGATCCAAATCCACCTGCCAATAGCCGCTTTTCAGATCGAGCGTTGAAAACCATTTCATGCCACTCAGTGTGTCAAGTGTGTCATCGATTCTTGGTAACGGGTAGCTATCCTTCTTGGTTACATCATTCAATCGTCGATAGTCTACGCAAAACCTCGTTGAACCATCTTTCTTCTTGACAAGCACGACAGGTGAACACCAAGGGCTAGAAGAGGGCTCTATCACGTCATTTTTCCTCATATCGTCAATCATTTCTTCAACCTCTTTCTCACGAGCGAATGGTATGCGTCTGGGCCTTTGACGAATTGGCATTGTATCACCTGTGTTTATTTTATGTTTCACCAAACCAGTTCGGCCAATATCACCATCGCTTCTTGAAAACACATCAGAGAATCGAAGAAGTAAATTTCTAGCTTTCATAGTCTCCACTTTTGTCAGACTTTTGTTTTCGTCTAAGATTTTCGTTACAAAGTCTATTCCCGTACTGTCCTTCTTCACAAGATTCTCCGAGCATTTTCTTATCCAGGCCACTTCTTCCAATACGCCCACAGGCTCTCCTTCTTCAATCGTAATTTTTGAATCACTGAAGTTGAATACCGGAATGCGGTTGACATCAGATGACCCCACGACAGTTCTCGCCGGTAGCCATGAGTTTACGTGTTCCGATTTATCAATCACAGCGCACCTTAGAGGTAAACTTCCTTCCCTCCTCCTAGGTAATGCGATTGGTACGAGAGTCTGTGATTTTGGTTCAAGAACAGTCCTTCTTAAACAGCAAACTTTTCCCAGGGTTCCACCCTTCATCGGAATTTCCTCAGTTCCACATAGTAAAACTCCAGATTTTAGGTCGATGTTACACTGGTGCCCTTGCAGGAAGTCAAGTCCCAGGATGCAGTCATCCAGAATTTTGGCCACAATAACCTCATGTCGATAAACACGTTCCCCAATTTTGATTGTTACATGCAGTTTTCCACTTATCGGTATGCACTGGCCGGTAGCTGATTTCATTTGTAGGCCAACAATTGGTTTAAGGTGTTTCCTGATGTTTTGCTCGAGCAGCCGAACATTTATCACCGTCCTTGAAGCTCCAGTATCTAATGTTAGCTGACTGTTTTTCCCATTTACTTGACCGTCTATCACCAGAGTATTTCCATCGTTGGTTTGCTTGATGTAGATTGTTGGGGTTGTTCCACTACCAGCCAGCGCCCACCCCGCAGCCCTGGCTGGATTTAAGTTTCCCTGCTGGTCAGAAGTTGAGACCGCCGCGTCCTGGCGGTTCATCTTCTTCGAGCAGTCGCTCCGTATGTGCCCACGCTCTCCACATCCATAGCACATGAAATTCCGACGGCGTGGAGGTACCTGCTCCGTTGTCGTCATTTCCCGCAGACGTAAAGTACGGGAGTTGCCACGCACGGCTTCCACTTCCAATGCATGGGCCAGAGCTTCTTTCATGTTCTTGTGATGGCCCAGATGAACAGCAGCTCGTACTTCGGGGTCCCGAATACCGTCAATGAACGCTTGGAGAAGCGTGCCTTCAATCATTGACGGAGTCGACCGGAAAGCTCGACGCACAAGTTTCTCGATTTCCACGGACCATTGCTGTAGGCTCTCATTAGCACGCTGAGTACGCTCTTTTAATTGCGCTCTGTACACGTGCTCGAGGTGGCTGTCTCCAAAACGTGCCTCAAGTGCGTTGAGGAGGGCACTAAAGCTGAGATCCCCACTTGCGCCGATAGCTTCCAGCACTGAGAGCGCTTGATCACGGAGGGCCAGGGTGAGGGCTGACTGTGCTTCCTTCTGAGTCCAACCATAAGCCTCCATAAGTGTCTCAAACTGTAGCTTGAACGCGGTCCAGGATGTTGTTCCGTCGTAATGGGGAATCTTGAGCCCTTTCGTTGCGCTTAAGGCCGCATTTGGGGCGTCAAAAACGGCTGCAAGACGGCTTCGGCTCTTTAAAGGGCTTGGGTCTGTCACTTCCTGCTTGATTTTGGAGATCTCTTCTTCCAATCTCTCCTCTATCGCCATGACGCGATGTTCCAACTTGCCTAAACCTTCCTCCACTTCTTGTACCCGTTTGACAGCCTTTTGCAGTCCCTTCGTGAAATCTTTATGCATGTCTTCCAAGCGACGCACTTGCTCCTCTTGGCGACGAGCTTGATCTTCTTTCAGTTCCCGCAGCTGTTCTGACTGACAGCGCGCTTGCTCTTCTTGGCGGCGCGCTTGCTCTTCTTGGCGGCGCGCTTGCTCTTCTTGGCGGCGCGCTTGATCTTCTTTCAGCTCCCGCAGCTGTTCTGCCTGACAGCGTGCTTGCTCTTCTTGGCGGCGCGCTTGATCTTCTTTCAGCTCCCGCAGCTGTTCTGCCATCATTTGCTGCAGCTGTAGCAGAAGATCCACCTGCACAGGCTTGGCTTCTGCATCGCTGGTTTGAGCTGCAGCACCCTCTTCTCTCACACGCTGCGCTTCTGACATAGCACGGGTACTCACTCCTCTTACGTCCTGCGGCACTAGCGGCATTTTTCTCCAATCCCACTTCTGACACCAAATGTTACGTGCCTGACGTCACGTTCCTAACTATGCGGGCTTGGGTTACGGGATTGGATGAAATTAAACACTAATACCGGTTTTCAGACTTTCTATTGCACTTAAGTTACAGCGTCCACGGATACGGATAAGTTATCGGCGTTCCTCTCCAGCAGAGTCCGGCCGACTGACACAACTTTGCCGTTCACTGTTCACGCTGACTTAACTCACTTAACTGACTGCACTTCACTATTTCACTGTACTTCACTATTTCACTGTACTTTTCTTCTTTTCACTTCTTCCTTTTCTTCCGAATCGCTTTGGACTTAGAACTCAACTGCCAGCGGTGAGCCGCAGTTCCGCTTATATACCCCTGGTCAGGTTCTAGAACATTCAATTTCGTTATTCTTTTTGATCGTCATGCCTCCAGAACCTTCCAATAATTTCGTTATTCATTTTTATTTATTCTCCTTCTCGCTCCTTAATTTTTCATTACTTTCACTCAAATATTCCAGAAAGTTCGACAAAACTTCCATCAACTAAAAAACTTCATGTTTACGGCGGGACTCGAACTCGGGGTCTCTGTGGTGTAATCCACACGCCTTACCGATTACACCAACTCGTGTTGACAATTCACGACGAAATTTACAATCTCTAGGCAACGTTTGACAACCATCCATTGACGTCATGATGTCAAAGAGTTTTCTGTCACAATATGTTTATATACATATAATCGTTACATAAGTATATAATTTTGCTGTACGTGTGATGTCATTGATCTCCTCCTAAACGGCTTGCCCAATTTAAATGAACTGTCTGTACGCGTTTGAGTCGCGCCCCGGATGGTTTACATCTGTGGTTTACATTCACAAATCAGCCCGGCAGATGGCGCTGATCTCGGAAACGGCTGTAAAGATTTCGCAAAACTTGATATGTGGGCGTTTTCGGAGACGAGAAATCGATCTAACCCAGTCTTAAGTCTGAAGCGCATGTTTTCAAGTTTTCTCTTTTGCAATATTTCACGCATAATGTGGTCATACCTTTTTTAATACCCTAACCGATTGAAATGAAAAAACACACACCACAAACACCTTCATGACACACCTCACATACATCGTAAATACCCTCAAAAATTTCAATAACACTTAAACAACACTCATACACACTAGTACGCACGTACACATTACACACATCAACACACATTAACACAAACACAATAATTATTATTTTCTTTGTAAACAACCACCTTTTATGTTTATATCAGTCTCATAATTATGCTCCAATTCATCCCATATACAAATCTGGATCAAATAGCAGATAAGATTTGCGCATTGCGTCGCAATAAACGCCCTCTTGGGGCGGGTTTAACCCCAAGTGGATAAAAAAACCGCTTGACATATCATGATATATGTTTTTTTAAGGAATAAGTGGCAAACGAGCAGATGTATCACTTGATGGTAAGCGATCGGAACCGCCCATGGACATCCGCAACACCAGAGGAGTCCCAGGTGGTTTGTGAGGGGAAAATTATCAAATGTCTTCTCCCGCCCAGGGCCGGGCGAGAGGGAGTGTCAGATTCTTACCGACTAAAAACCCCCCCTGTTCCTTCTCCTGCTCTGGGCCGAGGTCGCGGTGCCTCATTGCGAGGTGTGTTGCCGTGCCGATGTATGTAGGACAACGTCTCTCGAGTCCGCTAGTATTATTATACATTTTGGAATGACCATCCAAAAGGAACATCATCATCAGCCTTTAAGTGCCCACTGCTGAGCAAAGGCCTCTTTTCACACGGAGAAGGTTTGAGCAAGCTTCACCACGCTTGCTCAATGCGGGTTGGCGATTTCAAACTTATAATTAGAAATTATAAGTCCAGGTTTCCTCACGATGTTTACCTTCACCGTATGTCAGTGGTATCTTAATAATCATAGAAAGTACATATAACTCGGAAAAAGTCACATTGGTACTTGCCAGGTTTCGAATCCACACCTTCATGCATGAGAAGCGGACTCTTTAACCTCCGGGCTATCACGATATATATAAGCATCCATAGAGTTTATATATAAGCGTCTAAAAGGATGCTTATATACAAACTCTATGCTCAAATAATAAAAAAGAAATGTTTTTATTTTGTAAATAATATAACTTTTTTCTGTTTAAGCTATATCCACACTAGCGATAAACCAGAAAAACCAAATAATAATGGTAAGTACTTTCAACAGATTGATCTTAAATAGGAAAGCTTGTACTAGTTTTAAGTCACAACGGGACCATTTTTTTAGACACCCGCAACAGAGGAGTTTTTTTTTTGGCAGGGCAATGACTTCTCCCGCCCAGGTTAGGCGAGAGAGAGTGTCAGACTCTTACTGACTTAAAACCCCCCATTCCTTCTCCTGCTCTGGGCCGAGACCGCGGTGACTCATTGCACTTAACCCGCAACCCCGGCTGAGCATACGCCCTATAGGGCTCCGTCTGTGGTGGTCCATTGGCTCTTTGAGGCGCGCGCGGAACACTACGAGCCGTACGCAGACCTGCGCTTACGGTGGCCGGAGACCATCTCTCCCCCGACGCCCGGAATGTCGCCTACTGCGGCGGCTGGGGCGTGAGGAGGATAGTTCCCTCACGCGCTTCGCCTCCTCCTTTGCGAGCATCACTGCTTCGCAGAAAGAGCAGACGGCTTTCCAGTTCCAACAGAGGAGTTACAATTGCGTTGCCGACGTTTTGTGGATTAGGGATTTGGACATTTAGGGATTGGGGGAGGATTGAGCCTCCGGTAACCTCACTCACACGGCGAAGTTTTCACGCCGGTTTTCTGTGAGGCTGTGGTATCACTCCGGTCGAGCCGACCCATTCGTGCCGAAGCATGGCTCTCCCACACTTAATCATAAGTCTTACTCATGAGCAGTGACCAGTCGGATGCGAGAGGCTAACGCTTCTCATTAATAAGAGTCCCGGTGTGTCTCGAAACTAGTAGAGCTATTTTCAGTTAATTTGCGTGAGCAAGTTGTTATCTATGCCAATATTATAAAGCTGAAGAGTTTGTTTGTTTGTTTGAACGCGCTAATCTCAGAAACTTTAGTTCGAATTGAACAATTGACCACAATTGACTACAGAATGAACTTGCACGATTCTCTCACATTATGTTATTTTTACATTGTCTGGACTTGAAAAGAGACTGACCTCTGAGTTTGTTTCGGCATTTCTTCTCAGACTAGTCAGATAGGAAATGCCGGCTTCATCTAGTTTTTGATATATAATTTGACGTGTAAAAGTGACGTTATATGGCCTAAATTAACTAAAATTCGCGGGTTACTCACGTGTAAATGTTGAGAAAAGCTCTACTAGTTTCGAACCACAGAGGGGTTCTTCCTCATGAGCAGCGTGCGCGGACGCGGCGACGTCGCGCAGCCTACGGCTTTATGGGTTATAGTGCCTACTTGCAAAAAAAAAACATTGTTTCATTGTTTCAATTCTTTTTGTGTTTGTTAGTCTATTTTTCGAGGACGGCTGTAGGCTATAAAACATAAAGCTATGATCTTCAAGAGTTGAGCAGCGGGTGAAACCGCGTGAGAGTAGCTAGTTTTCTAAGAGTGTCTTACAAAGTTACTATGCAGTATCTTGGTTTTTAATGCTTGATCTGTATTCGTGTCACGGTAACATGTAGGATGGTAAACGAATAGACAGATTACCTGATGGTAAGCAATCAGAGCCGACTCAACCACAGAGGAGTTACGAGTGCGTTGCCGGCCTTTCAGGGATAAGGGTTTCGGAGATTTAGGGATTGGGGAAGCGTATTTAATTAGGGATTCTTTAATTTAGGCATTAAGTAGGGTGGGGAAGAAAAAGAAAGAAAGAAAAACCATTTATTTTCGCGCAAGCGCACACACATAAAACAAAAATACAAAAAAAAGAAGAAAATAAAATAATACAAAAAATCAAAACTAAATGACACAGATAAAAATAAAATGGTTTTTAGAAACAAATTAATAACAAAAGAAAAAAACAAAAAGTTTTGTCTATGGTCTACAGAGTATTTTAACATTATGCGCGAGGTCGCGTGTATTTTTATTATCTGTGGACCATAAGGACAAGATAGTAACATTTGTGTTTTTAACAAACAACAACAAAAACATATATTAATTTAATTAAATTGATAATTTCCTCCTTACTAAAAAAAGGATGAGGGCCTTTGCCTGCGGAAACCTCACTCAGGCAGCGGCATATAACGCTGCAGTTGTTTCACGCCGGTTTTCTGTGAGCCAGTGCTTTCGTGTGCTTGTGCGTGAAGAACACAAAACTGACTGATTTGTTGCGTCCTTTTTTTTCAGATTGTGCACAGCCAGTCGTCGAAAAAGTGCCATGCAGAACTCTGATGAATGACTACAGAAATATGGACGAAAACTTACAGTGTGAAAAAATACTTGATCTTCGGCAAGCTCCGATCATAGCTGGAGGAATAGCGGCTTCCAAGCGACAGTTTCCTCACATGGTAGAGTCAAATAACAGCATATCATCGGAGTGATACCACGGCCTCTCAGAAAACCGGCGTGAAATAACCACTGCGTTGTGTTTCGCCGTGTGAGTGAGGTTACCGGAGGCCCAATCCTTCCCCTCCCCCAATCCCTAAATATCCAAATCCCTAATACCTAAAAGGTCGGCAACGCACTCGTAACTCCTCCGTTGAGAGTGTCCATGGGCGGCGCTAATTGCTTACCATCAGGTAATCTGTCTGCTCGTTTGTCGACCTATTACATAAAAAAAAACATTCTTTTTAAACATACAAAACCAAACGAGCATGCGGATCACCTGAAGGTAAGGTATCGACGCCCCCCATTGACACCGGCAACACCATAGGAGTCACAGGTGCGTTGCCGGACTTTTAAGAAGGAGTACGATTCGGGAATACCGCCGCCGGAAGATCATTTCAAAGTTTTGCTGTGCGGGGCAGAAAGTTTCGCGTGAATCGCACAGTTGTTGACTGCCAACCATCTATGTGATGGGGATGAAAATGTTTTCGCGTATAACTATGGCGAAAAGATGCGGCGGGGGTCAAACCGAACAATTCCGCAGAACAGTCTCCGTGATAGAGAACACAGAATGAGGCTACATCCCTACGCAGTGCCAAAGATTCCAATCGGTCCGGATTACCTGATGGTTAACCAACGGAATGCCAAAACTACAAATACGCTGCCGGCCTTTTATTAGGGATTTAAGGATAGGAGATTTGAGGATTGACGATGTGGGGGAGAGGATTAGGCCTCTTATAACCTTACTCACACGGCAAAATATCACACAAACGTTATTTTCTAAGGCCATGTTCACTCCGGTCACACAATTTTTTTTTTCTTTTCAATAATGTTTTCACAATGAGAGTTCTAGGGATCTAGCGGGATATCAGCGTCATGTATTACCTTTTTTTGTCAGGGGAAAATCATCAAATGACTTCTCCCGCCTAGGGTAAGGCGAGAGAGAGTGTCAGATTCTCACTGACCAAAAACCCCCCTGTTCCTTCACCTGCTCTGGGCCGAAGCCGCGGTGCTATACCACAAAAAACACAATTACCAAGTTTCATGATGAAGTCTTTGTGATTCAGATCCTTAGAGTTTGTTCCAGGTCGCTGGCACGAGTTTTTTTTTAAGTAATATGTCGGCAACCGGGCAGACAGATTACCTGATGGTAAGCAATCAGCGCCACCCATAGACACCCGCAACAGAGGAGTTACGAGTGCGTTGCGACCTTTTGGGAAGGGGAAAATAAAATGGCTCTCCCACACTGAAAACGTATTAAAATAAGTTTAATTTTGCCTTCGTCATGTTTTAGGCTCTGCTTGGATACGGCAAAAATCCGGAAACCGCTGAATGGATGTGTGGGGGCAGCATCATCACCAAGAAATTCATATTAACGGCTGCGCACTGCATTTCCAGTCCTTCTTTGTAAGTTCTAGATTAATTTGCTAAAAATGTCTGTGAGAGAAATTAATAGTAAACAACAGTAAAAAAGACAATTTAAATATGCAAGCAAAACGACACTGAAACTCTGAAATCCAGTGCGTCCCAGGGACATGAATGACTGTCTCGGATCCCGCAACGAAATAAATTAGAATGTATTAGTAAATAATGAAATAATTTCTACTTTCTTCGATTAATTTAATGCAGCAGTGTGATTCTGTAAGACTTTATTCTAAACTTCGAATGAATCCGCTGTAAGTAGTAGTACACTAGCGCTACACTTGCGAGTTGAACTAAATTGACAGCAACATTTTGATAGATAAAGTATGACATGACGTTAAAAGTGGCATTCTAAAATTTAATTTCCCCGTCACTTCGACGCTCACTTTGCACTCGAACACGATTCAAAATCAAACAAATTTTATTATAGAATCGACGTGCAGGAGACAAAATAGCTTAAGACTTTTTTTATAACTTCTCCCGCCCAGGCGAGAGGGAGTGTCAGACTCTTTCTGACTAAAAACTCCCCTTTCCTTCTCCTGCTCTTTGCTGAGGCCAGGGTGACTCATTGCGCTGAGCCAGCAACGGAACGCTGCGCGCGCGGAACGCTACGAGCCGTACGCTCGAGTCTGGTTCTAGTCGGGTGGCGAGCTACCCTTACTCGCCGTCCGCAGACTTCCGATGGCTTAAGCCACAATAGAGACTGTACAACTGGGCAAAGTCCATTCCCCAAACTAATAATTACTAAGTACATATTTTATTGAGATCAGTGTGTGACCTAGTTATAAGCAATTGACACTGACCACACCCTTAACATCTGAAAAGTTCTAAATGCATTTGGAGAGGGTACGGCAAGGGGTTTTTCTTCTTAACCGCCGTTGACCTTGACCTCATAGCCCAAAAGACACCACGACTTGATGACCACGGTACTCCATCAAATTCGTTTGTCATTCAAAGTGAACCTTTTAAACTGTTCAAGGTTTTTGAAGAGTAGATGGCAGCAAGGCTCGGATACCGGTTAAATTTTCTAACCGTTATTATGTACTTGACGCAAAACCTTTACATTTTGGTTTCGTTCTTATATACCGGTTTTTTTAAACCGTTATTTGGAAGAGCATTAATATAAAGGTTTTTTCGAATTAAACGGTTAAGAGCAATAAAAACCGGTTAATATGGACCCACTGTAAAGAAATGCCGCGTACTGTTTAGATTTTATTCAATAGTAAGATTTTTTTGTTTCGGATCGGACGTTTGTGTCATTGCATCAATAAGCTCCGCAGCAAAAACATAAAAAAATGAGTAAGTATCTAATTTTTTTTTCGTGAAGTTAAGCTGATAATGACCAAACTAATCGGTAAACAAAATATTTCGAATGAAAAGAAATATCGCTAGTACCTACGTCTTCATACCTCGCCGCTATGCGCGGCAGCGCGGTATTCGTACAAGTTGCAACGCGTTTAGCGACGTCGTCCGTCTATAAACCGGTTTATTTAGATTAAAATAAAGTTCTTAAAACGTTTACGTTCTTAAGAAAAGTTCGGAGATAAACCGAAATAAACCGGTATTAACCGGTATTTTTTAAACCGGTTCCGAGCCTTGGATGGCAGATCTCACCTTAATTTCGTCAGCCGACATATTTCGCCCCAAAGACTTGCAGATTGGCTAAAAACCAATATTGTGGTTAACGAGGGACAGTGGTATTACTCCAGTCGATAGCCATTTGTTATTTTTTATGTGTATTAAGACGGCAATCGAGCTGACGGATTACCTGATGGTAAGCAATCAGCGCCGCCCATGGAGTTACGAGTGCATTGCCGACGTTTAAGGGATTAGGATTTTGGGGATTTTGGGATTGGGGTAGAGGAAGGATTGGGCTTCCAGTAATCTCACTCACACGGCGAAACACAACGCTGTGATTTTTTCACGCCGGTTTTCTGTGAGGCCGTGGGATCACTACATTCGTGCCGAAGCATGGCTCTCCCACACTGCTGTGTGCTGGTTCCCACATTTGTGCTGAAGCTAGCTGTCTTCTAGAAAAATGATTATAATCATGACGTCTGAGAGCGGTGCTTAGGCACAAATGGCATTCGTGTCGAAGTGACACAACGACCTCAAAGAAAACCGGTGTGAAACAACCACAGCTCTGTATTTCGCCATGTGAGTGAGGTTACCGGAGGCCCTATCCTTTCTCTCCCCCAATCCTTAAATATCCAAAACCGTTATGCCGTAATCCCCAAAAGGCTCGTAACTCCATTGATGTTGCGGGTGTCTACGTGCGGTGCTGATTGCTTACCATCAGGTAATCGAAGGGAAAGGAAGAAAAAAAAGGATAATAAAGATGCTTTTCTTCCACAGGGGCGTCGTAAAGTACGCAGCGCTCGGCATCCTGAGACGGTCTGATCGAAAAAAATGGCACGTTTACGATATAGCAAATATTATCAAACATCCGAAGTATAGGGCACCAATCAAGTACCATGACATAGCGCTATTGGAGACTGGAAGGGAGTAAGTTTTTTATTAAGTACTTACCAATCATCATCATCATCATCAGCCTATAAGTGTCCACTATTGAGCAAAGGCCTCTTCTCATACGGAGAAGGTTAAAGTATTAATCACCACACTTGCTCAATGCGGGTTGGCGATTTCAAACTTATATTTAGAAATTATAAGTCCAGGTTTCCTCACGATGTTTACCTTCACCGTATGTCATTGGTGTCCAAATATAATCATAGAAAGTACATATAACTCGGAAAAAGTTACATTACTTACCTATAAATACTTTTTAATATTATAAAACCGGAGACTTTGTTTGTTTGAACGCGCTAACCTCCAGAACTACTGTTTCGAATAGAATAATTATTTTTGTGTTTCTTAGTACACTTATCGAGGAAAGCTTTAAGCTACACATCACGCTACGATTTGTAGTGAAACCACGCGACAGAAGCTAGTAAAGAGATAAAATTTGTAAGTTTGTATGTAGAGGGTAATCTTTGGAACCGCTGGTCGGATTGCCAAAATTCTTTTACTGATAGATAGCTACAATGTTCCAGAGTGCTATAGGCTGAAACAACACCCTACGACCAATAGAAGCCAAGCAGCAGGTGAAACTGCGCGGCAGTATCTAGATCGGCTAGCAAGCAGACGGATTACCTACGACGGAACAACAATTTTTGGATCACACAGAGAGTTGTTCCGTTCGAGAATCGGACCCGCGACACGTTGCACAGCAGCCAGTTGCCCAGCCACCGCGACAACCGTGCCGTCATTGTCGAAACATAGATTATTTTATTTTTATTTCTTTATTCAAACTTCATGCACAATGGGTAGCCAGGGTTGCGGGGTAAGCGCAATGAGGCACCGCGACCTCGGCCCAGAGCAGGAGAAGGAACGGGGGGTTTTTAGTCAGTAAGAGTCTGACACTCCCTCCCGTCCGACCCTGGGCAGGAGAAGTCATTTGATAATTTTCCCCTCACAAAAAAATGCACAATGGGAACATAGGCGGACCTATTGCCTTAGGGATTTTCTACCAGTCGAGCCTTGGGTGATGCAGAAATGAGCCAATGGTCGGTGCAAGAAGCAAGCAAACGGCTTAATTTTATATGAGTCAAGACAAGATAGATATATACATATACATATACATAAAAAGACACTTAACGAAGCCGTTAACTACGCTTACTGCAGTTCTAACTAAGTAGCTTTACGCTAAAATTATCACTGGGAAACGACTTTTATGTTTAGGTATCAAAAAAAAAAAAATATTGCGCGCAATGTAAAGCAAACGGGCTTCGTGTCATTGTGTGCGTAGGATCAAAGCTTAGCATTAAAACTCTGTGATAAGTACGTAGGTCGACGTTTTACTTCGCAACAACAAAACAATTCTGTAAAATAACAATCCTACTGAGATGCACGATGTTTTTTGTGCGGGTCTGCATTTATTGATTACGTACATTACTGTTCGTAACTTCAAATGCGTAATTTATTTGGAAAAATCGAAAATTCAGGATATGTTTGTTTGGAAAAAAGTTTTGTAACAATACCTACTTAGAATTCGATTGCGCAAAAAAAATTTAAAAATGCATCTTTGACCTTCAATATCTCGAGAACCCGGGGAGTCCCAGCTATGGTCTTAAAGAAAAAAATGATCCAAATAATGGGTAGAATACGTGGCTTTCGGCTTCGTTAAGTGTCTTTTTACAACCTGTATATGTGATTATACCTCTCAGCTTCAGACTCAGCTCATATCATAATATCCTTTCAGCATCGTCTTTAATGGTGAGGTCCTTCCGGCCTGTCTGCTCAAAGATCCTCGATTGGAAACCGAGGTAGCCACTGCAACGGGATGGGGTAAAACGGGACACAGAAAACCTGTGTCTGAAATACTACAAATGGTAAGACTTTTATGTTATAGGTCGCATAACTTTCTAACGGATTACCTGATGGTAAGCAATCAGCGCCGCCCATGGACACCCGCAATGGCTGACAAGTTACGAGTACGTTGCAGAGATTATGAGATTGGGGGAGGGGAAGGTTTGGGCATCCGGTAAACTCACTCACACGGCGAAACAATATTCATCATAATCATCATCATCTTCAGCCTATAAGTGCCCACTGCTGAGCAAAGGCCTCTTCTCATACGGAGATGGTTAGAGCATTAATCACCACGCCTGCTCAATTCGGGTTGGCGATTTCAAACTTTTAATTAGAAATTATAAGTCCAGGTTTCCTCACGATGTTTTCCTTCACCGTTTTATGTCAGTAGTGTCTATATAATTATAGAAAGTACATATAACTCGGAAAAAGTCACATTGGTACTTGCCAGGTTTCGAACCCACACCCTCATGCATGAGAAGCGGGCGCCTTAACCTCCGGGCCACCACGACATTTTATATTATTTATATAATAAATATGTCTTACCCATATTATCTTTAGTAGGAATCCGATATGGCCCATTCGTGACGAAGCATGATTCTCCCAGGCTTAAAACTTAAAACTTTAAGTGTGGGAGAGCCATGATTCGGCACGAATGGGTCGGTTCGACCGGAGTGATACCACGGCCTCGCAAAAGACCGGCGTGAAACAACCACAGCGTTGTGTTTCGCCGTGTGAGTGAGGTTACCGGAGGCCCAATCCTTCCCCGCCCCCAATCCCTCCTCAATCCCTAAATCTCCAAATCCCTAATCCCTAAAAGGTCGGCAACGCACTCGTAAATCCTCCGTTGCGGGTGTCCATGGGCGGCGCTGATTGCTTACCATCAGGTAAACCGTCTGCTCGGTTGCCGACCAATTACACAAAAAAAACTGCATAAAATGGCACATATCACTAACTTAGTGTAATAATTGTACATTATAGCAGGTAAAGGCAATGATACAAATATAAGTAAAAAGGTGTAGATAGGTTACAAGCGTTCAGCAAGTGATACATTAAAATGTGGCTAACCAGCCACACTTATTTGTCTCTTTTTCACTCGCGATTATTGAATCATGCCATCCCATTTTAACGTCTAATCATACGAATTGTTCATGTGTGCATCAGTGTGCCGTTTTTGAAAATCGAATGTTGTTTATGTAACCTATCTATACCATTTTACTTATAATGTCATTGGGTACAAGTGTGTAATCAGTGCCGGCGTTAAGGGGGGGGCGTGATAGGGCGATGACCCAGGGCGACAAATTCAGGGGGGCGCCAAGGTCTGAAGTTGGAGTCTCTTCGCCTCTCCTAGTGCAAACACCCTCAGAACTGTGCTCTAAACTCTGTTTATATGCATATTTTTTATTAGGGTTTTTTTTTATTTGGGGTCAGATCTAAAATGTAACACTTGATATTGCTTCCCTCAAGTGGGCGCCACGATATTTTCGCTCGGGGTGTCAGTGGCCCTTATGGCACAGTGATTACCGCTGAGGCGTATTAAGGCCAGATCAGTCAGGCGAGGGTCTTAAGGAGCCAAGGACTATAATCATCAATACACACGTTTATCATACGACGTTTTTCAACACACTTCTGAATAAAATAATTCCTAAATAAAAAAACCTTCAAAAGATAAAACGAGACGAGTTGTGAAAAATGTTTCGTAATGGCGGGAAAAAATAATCAGTTTTCCTATGCGCGCGCATCGGCCATAGACTATAAAATGATGTTTCTTTTTTTGGGCTTTTCGCAGATGACATTTTAGCGCAAGTGTAAGCGTAACTCAATCAATAATAAAAAAAAGAAACTATAACTCACCCGTGAGATATAGTAATGATAAAGTCAAAATTGTTTATATATTTTTTTTTAATTTAATTTTTTAAGAAATATTTAAAAATGTAAACTATATGTTAAATAAAGATGAAAATAAGTCACAATTTGATTATAGGTCACTAGCTTTTGCCCACGGGTTTGCTCGCGTTAAGTATTATTATTTTTATTATTAATTGGGTAGGTATAGTTCTTGCGGCTTTAGTTTTGTTTTGCGTGTATTAAAAATTAAGGCCTCATTTTCATCAATCTTGAATTTCAGCTCAATCAGTCGAAAATCTAAGAAGATATTATTATAAACAAACTTTCATCCCCCATTTTAACCCCTTAGAAGTGGAATTTATCAAACTCCTTTCTTAGGCGATGTAGGCATCCCGTATAACATAGGTACGCATAACGTAGGCATTACAGTAGCTTTATGCATGCAAAGTCGGTTTAAAACTGACAAAGTTTCATCCCCTTTTTATCCCTTTGGGGGTACAATTAATCAAAATCCTTTCTTAGCGGATGCCTACATCATAACATCTACCTGCATGCCAAATTTCAGTCCGATCCGTCCAGTGGTTTGGGCTGTGCGTTGATAGATCACTATATCAGTCACCTTTGAGTTTTATATATTTAGATTATGTGCCTAATTGCCGTCGGATTAGAGCCACTTTATGAATGAGTTTGTTTAAAAAAAAAATATTATTAAAAAAACAAAATACCCGACTGCACACTAAAAAAAGAGTAAAACAAGCCCCACAATACAAATTTACTGAATATAATTTATAAATGTGATGGAAAGCATCGCAGGCGGGGACCAACAGAGGCTTATTTATAGTCATTTCTGTTGTGCACCATTTAGCAGAATTTTCGTTGGTGGCGGTCAAGGTGGTCCCCGCCTGCGATGCTTTCCATCAACATTTATAAATTATATTCAGTAAATTTGTATTGTGGGGCTTGTTTTACTCTTTTTTTAGTGTGCAGTCGGGTATTTTGTTTTTTTAATAATAATTTTTTTATTTATAACTTTTTAGCTGTTTTTTTAAAGGGAAATTTAGAAAAAATATTATTATGTCTTTATCCCGTGGGACTTTTAGGATAAAATGTATCCTATGACACTCCCGTAATCAAGACAAATCTAACGATACCTCATTCATCAAAATCCATCAAGCCGTTTAGGCTACAGGAGGTCACAAAGGAAAAGACATACATACATACTTACATACACTCGAAAAACATTACCCTCCTTCTTTGGTAGTCGGGTAAAAATAGTTTCAATTTTAATAATTTCCAGGTATTAGTCGTGAAATTATCCGACGATAAATGCAGGAAGGAGTATCCAGTGCACAGACATCTGTTTAAAGGCTACGACTCAACCACACAGCTCTGTTACGGCGGCGTCGATCAAGGGATTACCGACACATGTGAGGTAAGCCGTCATGTTGGTGGCCTGGAGATTAAGCTTTCTTGTCGGCAAAAGAGCAGACGAATTACCTGATGGTAAGCAATCAGCGCCACCTGAAGACACCCGAACTAGAGATGAGTTACGATTGCGTTGCGGCCTTTTGGGGATAAGGGTTGCGGATATTTAAGGATTGGGAAGGGGCAGGGGATGGGAAGGGATTGGGTCTACGGTAATACGGCGAAACACAACGCTTACGGTTGTTTCACGCCGGTTTTCTGTGAGACCGTGATATCACTCCGGTCGAGAAGGCCCATGTTCGGAATAGATTGCTATTATAAAATATTAATCCTAATGTGGGTACTTCGTAATATCTTGATAACAAATATCTTATGGTGTACCCGCAAATTTAGATATATTTCAAATAACGTCCGAGCCGAGGACTTCGCGGAGTCGGTTGGAATCGTTGATTCGGAACGTTCGTGTTGGTAATATCCTCCGATTCAATAATTTGGAAATGCGGACCGGGATTCCATACTTTTAATATATTTTGTTGCTGCGCCCGCGCTTATAGTAGATTGTTCGCGAAGTTGGTATGCGCATAATTTCTGGTGTGAAGTGCCGGACGCTGGATCACAAGGTCAAAGAATTCCTTAAATATCCCCTTCACATTCCCTTAAATAGTTCATCAATCCTCCTCACGGTCCTCACGGGTACCCTAATCCCTATAGACCATTGACTGACTGACTGTGATAGCATCGAGGCGCATCAGTAGCAGTTTCGGTAAGTGGAACATTCACTTATGTATGTAGGTATCGCGTAGGCTAGAACTTAACCTAGGGTTTTGTGTCGCCGGGCCACCGATCCCGTTGTTTTCGATACAAAAATTTGGTAGCAGAGCGTGGTTTTGGTTGTTTTCCGCTCCGTAATCGGTTTATTATAAAAGTTAAGTTCTCGATACCTACATTACATATTTTTGCGTCTGCCCATTGTAGGTTAGTTAACCTATATTTTTATGCACGCGGTAGTGCAAGTCATGCAACCGGTTTTTAAATAAATCTTTGTTCGTGGATAGTATTGATGAGACATAATTTTATATAAGAAGTTATTTAGTATCGTTCGGCTGATCCGATAATTATGTCAAGGTTATTTATTGTTCTCGTATAAATAACTTAGTTTCACTATTTTACTATTTGAATAATAATTTGCTTAGATTATTTTCTTTTAGCTTTTTGAATAGTATACGGTTTACGTTAATTAGCTAACATCACGCTTGTATTCCGCGTCGGGGTAGTTAGTGGCGTATCGTGTACCTTATATAGTTGTTACTTAGTTTTTTGTACTTTAATATAATAAATATGGCTAGTAAATCTAAATACACAGCCCGCATAGCTAGTGTGTTGCGATGGCTCGGCTCGGCCGTTTTAAACATTTCACGTCAGGATCGGGTTCAGGCATTATTATCACGTTATGATTCTTTGGAAAGTAAATTAACTGAGTTGTATGATGCACATCAGGCGATTCTCGAGTTGGGTCTTGAGTCGGAGGTGATGGATAAAATTAATGCTGATATTGATCAGGCGGATGATCTGGCGGACCAGATCCGTCAAGCCGTAGGTACCTTGAAGATGTCTTCTCTTGATAAGAGACCTCCTAAGGTTGAGGAAGGAGCATCTCCAGCATTAATTAGTCGGTTGCCAAAGCTTGATTTACCTCATTTTGGTGGTGATTTGTGTCAGTGGGTGGCATATAATAATTTATATGAAAGCTTAGTGCACTCACGTAGGGATTTAACTCCGGCTCAGAAGTTGGCCTATTTGTTGGCCTCCCTTACTGGAGAAGCTAAGGGATTGGTTCAGCATCTGGATCTTGTTGATGGGAACTATGAGATCGCCCGGGATTTGCTTATGCGGAGGTACCAAAATGTTCGGAGGTTAGCTGACAGTCACGTGTCTGCCATTTTGGACCTGCCCAAGAACCCAATGCCCCAGTTATTACGGACTCGACTTCTTAATCCATTATTGATTGCGGTTAATGGTTTAAAGGGGTTAGATTTGCCTGTGTCGAGCTGGTCGTTTATATTGTTGCATATTGTACTCGGAAAGTTGTCTCATGAGCTGCGAAATAGATTCGAACTGGAGCATGGTGGGGACTCCACCACATATCTCCCTCCGTTTGATGATCTGGTTTCCTTTTTGGAGGATGAATGCCGTCGTGTGGAGAATGTTCCTCAGCCAAAATCTATGGAAGTTCGCACTCGGGTGCAGCCGGCACGTATAGAACGTCGTCGTGAGGGCCGGACATATAATTCAACTGCCATGCAGCAGCCGAGTTCTCGTTGTATGTATTGTAAGGAGCCTGGCCATGGTACTCCGACATGTTTTAAATTTGGTCAACTGCGTTGGCAGGCTCGGCGTAATATTGCTCGTCAACGCAACTGGTGTTATTCTTGCTTGGGTAATCATCTTGCATCACAATGCCAGATATCTCGGCCATGTGCTCAATGTGGTGGTAATCATCATCTCCTTCTGTGCGGCAATCGAAACGGATCGCCTCCGCCGGCTGCTTCGGCACCGAAGGCCGTTGCCCCAGAAGATCGAATTATTGGTAATATTAATGATCAATGGACTGGTCGTGCACGGTTTGGTCTCCCGCAAGGTTGTCCTAATATACCACACCTTTATAGGAAGAAGACCCCTCTTCGTGACACACAGTGTCAGTTTCAGTCCTCCACGGGTGGGGGTACCCGAGTTCCCCCTCGGGTTTGTCATGCAACTGTGGATCAGGAACGTCGATGTGGCTTTGGGGTGCCACTGCACTATATGGATTGGCCTCGTTTGGATCGACAACCTCAATATGCAAGTCAGGTATATGTGTCCCCTAGTGGAAATCCATCACACCAGCATTGGACTCCTTATGCTGCTCATGACACCTCTGTAAATGATATTAACAATGCTAATTCGGAGAATTGACTCTCCAATCCACATCCTCCACCGGCGCATGATCCCTGTCTTTTAACTGTATTATTGCCCACTGCTCAGGTTAGTGTAGGTTCCCCTTCGGGTGAAAAGGTAACCGCACGTGCATTGCTGGATTCGGGTGCTCAGGGATGTATAGCGTCGACATGGCTGGTGGAGCGTTTGCGGTTGCGTGTGGAATCGGGTGGAAATTATATTCGTGGCGTAGGAGGAGTAAAGGCCCTTTCCCCTTCCTCTTGGACCGCGAAAGCGAACGGACGTGTATACCGTAACAGTGCTTTGAATATTTTTCTTTAAATAAAATTAATTCTAGCATAAAATTAAATCGCCACAAAAATCACAAAGTACTAGGCGCGCATAATACGGCGGTGGTGCTGCTAAGACTCGGAGCAATAACGTGAGCAAGACAGCAATAGACAAGACAATACATAGCTAAGCTACACCTGCGTGTGCGTGAGTCGGCATCTACTTAGCTTGCCATTGAACAGTGACCAATTATATAGAGGGGTCAAGTAAGGCTGGCGGATAGAAAAAATGTACTAGATCTTCGATCGGTGACCAGTATAGTGACCCCTACGCTCTTCGCTTCGGTAAAACCTCTTCATAAGTTTTGGAAGCCTGGTACCTCTGCTCCGAGTGAACCATCCAATATGTCTCATCAGCGCTCCCCCCCACCTACCTCACCCGCTCCCGCGACCGGCCCCACGCTCTATGAGGTATGTGCTCCTGAAATATGTGAATCGGATACTGCATCTGAGAGAAGCTGTAGCAGAAATGTCAGCGTTAGAAATAAACGTAGACATGGTGATGATGACATCAAGGAACTCAAGGGGTTGATCTCGTCTCTGACATCTAAGGTAGACCAAAGCTTTCTGGAACTCAAACAGAAAAATACAGAACTTAAAGAAAGTCTACAGTTTATGTCAGACAAATATGATTTAATTCTCAAAACACTTCAAAACCTACAGGAAGAGAGAGCAGACGATAAGAAGACCATTCAAAAATTAGAAGAAAAGATTGAATTCCTTGAGCGTAAAAATAGGTCGACTAGCTTGGAGATAAGAAATATACCAATCTGCTTGCAAGATGACAAGAAATTCGAGTCGAAAGAAGATGCAAGTTTGATAGTAAAAACCTTGGCGAAAGCTGTCGAGGTAGATATCCAAGACTGTGACATAAAAGATATATACAGAATCCAAACAAACAGAGAAGGCAGTAAACCCATTATAGTTGAACTGAACAGTGTCCTAAAAAAGGACAAAATAGTGCTGGGGGTCAAGAATTACAATAGGAAGAAACCAAATGAAGATAAATTAAATACTAGACACCTCAATATACCCGGACCTGTCAAACCTGTGTACATATCAGAAGCCCTAACACCTAACGCGCAGAAACTATTCTATGCAGCTCGACAGTTTGCAAGGGAAAATGGGTACATGTACTGCTGGACCTCCCATGGGTCTGTATTCCTGCGTAAAGCTGAAGGTGAGCCTCAAACTCGAATCGAATCTGCAATAAATCTGAAACTCTTAGCTAAAAAATGACTACCCTGTACGAACCATCACAATGTTGTTTCTCACTGTTTTTTCATTATACACTATCATTATTTTAGGTTTAGTATTACACTAAATTATATTGTTGCCTCGCTTGTTACTTGTATGATGTATTTAGATAGTATAGTTATCCAATACTTAATAGTTAATTGTTACTTATATCCAAAAGTTCTTGCAGAATCTGTCATACTCAGTATTTCACTGTTGTGTGATATAGTTTACCTGGTAATCAACCATAATTTATCTAATTACCCGAATGAAACATCTTTTGTATATCACAATGCAACACAATTACAGTTAAACGTACAAAACTTACACACCAAACATTCCAACAACCCATTTATTAACACATTACATTACAAATTACAAATTATAAATTACAAATTCTACACTAAAGGGCTTACACAAACAATACACTACAGCACAAACATAAACTGGTCATCAATATTTAAACTATAAATTCGATAAGGATAACTTAAACAAATTTATCGATTCTGTAGAATCATTTAACATTTCACGCTCGTATGAGTGCTTGCCGGACCAATGCCTGAAGTATATAAACACTACCAAACCAACTTTAAACATACTACATGCTAACATCCGAAGCCTAAACCACAACTTTGATGGACTCAATGTTTTACTACATTCCATGGATGTCAAGTGTGATGTAATAATCCTCTCTGAGTGCTGGTTGAGCAAGGTGATAGATATTCCTGTAATAACTGGCTTTGCTTCATCTAGATCCTCATTCAACAATCAAAATGATGGGGTGGTAGTTTATGTAAATTCTGATTTGACTCATAAGCTAGTTGAGCCGGTTTTCCAGGACGCAAACTGTCTTATTTTGAGGCTAGGTTTGGATACAGCCATTGTTGCAATATACCGTTCGCCCTCAGTCAGAAATATACAAAATTTCCTTAATTCCTTAAACAATATCTTAGAGCCCTTGGGGTCAACTACAACTGTGTGTGTCCTTGGAGATTTAAACATAAATATTCGGCCTGATAATAATGACCCAAACTCTGAAGAATATTTAAATACAATGGCTTTTCATGGTCTCCTACCTGCCCACGTTCTCCCCACTCGCATGGAAAACTGCCTAGATCATGTCTTTTTAAAAACAGATAAATCCTCCACAACCTTGGTTCTAGAATCATATTTTACTGATCATGCACCTATCCTATTTTGTACTGAACGAAGCCCTCTCTATGTTACTAAACCTAAAAATATGATACGGCATTTAAACTTCCCAGGTATTATAAGTAGCTTAGAAAACTCTGATTTCTCAAGTGTCTTAAGTAGCACAGATCCCAATCAAAGTGCAGAACAACTAATCTCCATAATATCAGATGCAATAAATCAAAACACTACCTTAAAAAGAGTCGGTAATAGGAAGTTGACCATTAAACCGTGGATGACCACTGGCCTTCTGAGGTGCGTGCGAAATCGGGACCAACTCCATAAAAAATCAATGCAAAACCCTAAAGACCTTACTGCCAAACTAATATATTCTAGATACCGAAATTACTGCAACAATTTGCTAAAGACTATTAAATCAAATTTTGATCGAGAAGCACTTCAGAGGGCAAACGGTAACCCCAAAGCCACCTGGGACATCATAAAAGCTATTAGTTACAAGAACACTTCTCCCATAAGTAGGGCAGGAGAACTCCTTAATATGTGCAACGATCCAAACTCCTCAGTTAATACCATAAATAGGTATTTTGCGAACGTTGGAACGGATCTTGCGAGGCAGGCTGCGCAGGGTCAACCTAAAATTTGCACAAACTTTGAATTCAGTGGTCTAATAAATCCTCAAGGAAACTCATTCGTTCTACTTGAAACGAGTTTCTCAGAGATAGAAAATATAATCATAAAATTAAAACATAATTGTGCAGTTGGGCACGATGGGATACCAGCCTCAGTTATTAAGTCTGCCAGACATGTACTTGTTCCAGCAATAACGCATATTTGTAATTTATGCATTGTAAACGGTATTTTCCCCGAAACTTTTAAGAAGGCATTGGTCACGCCAGTATTTAAGAGTGGGGATGGTGACCGTGTCGAGAACTATAGGCCTATATCTGTACTTACCACACTGTCCAAAATTATGGAGAAGGTTCTGAACAAAAGATTGCTGAGCTATCTTGAATCTAACAACATAATTGCGCCAAACCAGTACGGGTTCAGGAGAGGCGTATCAACTGAGGACGCTGTTCTTGAACTCACTAGCCAAATTGTTACGAACCTTGATTCTAAGACTAAAACTATAGGTGTATTTCTTGATTTAGCCAAAGCTTTCGACACGGTCTCTACTCCCATCCTACTACGTGGCTTAGAAAGCTTGGGAATACGAGGTATCACCCTAAGCCTCTTCCGCGATTACCTCACAAATCGTAGCCAGCGAGTTAAGGTAGACAACTACATCAGTGATGATATAAATCTAACATTTGGCGTCCCGCAGGGCAGCGTGCTGGGCCCCACCCTCTTTCTTCTGTTTGTAAATAGAATGTGTCAACTATCAATCCCACACTGCAAAATACTTGCCTATGCAGATGACACTGCGCTCATTATAAGTGGAGCAACATGGGAATCTGCTCACAACACAGCTGAAAACGCTCTGAGCGTTGTGATAGATTGGCTTTCAGTTAATTTACTTACGCTAAATGTCTCAAAAACTCACTATGTCCCCTTCTCAGCGAACTCTGCTACGCAGCCTAGTATGCCGGACATTAAAGCCCATAGTTGTCACCGCACACTGACCCCCTGCACCTGCCCTACTATACACAGAAGCTCTTGTGTAAAATACTTGGGAGTGCATATTGACAACACGTTGAGTTGGCAAAAGCATATCAGTGTTACAGTCACGCGGGTTCGTAAGCTCATGTTTCCTATGAAAAAACTAAGAAGTGTAGTTACCGACCAACTATTGAAAACTATATATTTTGCCTTGGCTCAGTCGCTTCTTACCTATTGTAATTCTGTCTGGGGTGGTTCACTTAAAACGTATTTACTTCGCCTTGAGAGAGCACAAAGAGCTGTCTTGAAAGTCATGCTTCACAAACCTTACTGGTACCCGACTACCCAACTTTATAAAGACGTATCTGTACTTACTGTCCGACAGCTCTGTGTACTTAATATCACTTTACGTACACACTCATCATTGACCTATGACCCAAGATTACTAGAGCAAAATAAACGACGTAAAGATCCTGTATGTCCATCTGTCGCCACCAAAACCGCTCTGGCAAGAAGAAGCTACCCATATCTTAGCAGCCACCTTTATAACGCAATAAACGATATTTGCAATGTATATGCCCTAACTAAATCTAAATGTAAAACTGTAGTGAGTGGTTTCCTCAAAAAGTTGACGTACAATGTGACTGAACAACTCATTGCAAATAAAATCACGAACGCATTTAAAAACAGACTTAAATCCCTTTAATATCTAGTGATACTGTGCTGTTGCATACTATTTCCGAAACACGCAACTCTCACTCATCCGATCACAAACAATCACACATACACACACGCAAACACGCACGCACGCACACACACACACACACACACACACACACACACACACACACACACACACACACACACTCACACACACACACACACACACACACACACACACACACACACACACACACACACACATATACACACACACACACACACACACACACACACACACACACACACACACACACACACACACACACACACACACACACACACACACATTACTTGCTAATATTAGGGTAAACTATTTCATATCTGTAATTTTATTTTTTATTTTCTTATTGTTTTCAATACCTTAATTATACTAATTGTAAGAGGAGGGCGCCTGTGTCTGTAACACAGTTTATACTAGCACAGACACAGTCGTTAACTCTGTCTCAAAAATGCTTTGTACCTACTTAATAAATAGTGTACTTTTATATTACATTGAGACGGACAAATTGTAGTTGGCTTTATGAAATAAAGATTTATATTATATTATTATTATAAAGGTGCCTGGTTTAGTGGGACAAGTCGCACTCTCCTTTTCCCCCTTGCAGTCTTCTCGTCCGCGAATTAGAGTTTCAGCTATTGTTTTACGTAATGTTATTGGACGTCATCCGGTCGTCCAACTCCCATCAAGAGTCGTCGCTTTGACTTCGGGACTATCCCTTGCAGATCCTAAATTTCATGTTCCAGGTCCTGTAGACCTTTTAATCGGTGCAGACGTCTTAGGATTGCTGCAGCTAGGAAGCAGTAAGCTTCTGCAATCAGGTGGTTTAGTTTCTGTTGCGACCGATCTTGGTGATATTATTATGGGCCCAGTACTTTCACCTTGCCCTCTTCAAGGGGAGGATGATAATTTGCAGGTGGGGCTCTCACTCGCTGAGAGTGTTCAGCGATTTTGGGAAGTGGAAGAGCCCCCTTCTGCTCCTCGTCAAAACCCAGAGCACTTGGAATGCGAATCGTTCTTCCAGAACAACACGGGTCGTCTCTGCTCTGGTCGGTTTGTCACAAGATTACCTTTTTTGCCGTCTCGGCCTCGTCTTGGTCACTCCAGAATGCTTGCGGAAAAAAGGTTGTCTTCTATGGAAAGACGCATGAATCGAGACCCAACGTTTCGACAGAAGTACATTGAGTTCATGCGGGAATATTTAGAACTGGGACATATGTCGGTTTCTAATTTTGATTGGCGTTCACAAGAGCACTACTTTATTCCCCACCACGCGGTGTTTAAGGCTGGGAAAATTAGGGTTGTATTTGATGGCTCTGCGCCCACATCTAATGGTGTGTCCCTAAACCATTGTTTACATTCCGGTCCGAAACTCCATCGGGATATTTGTGAGGTTTTAACAAACTTCCGCCGACATCAGGTTGTGTTTGTGGCGGACATTAGGATGCAATTTCGTCAGACACTTATTCATCCAGATGATCGTAGATATCAACTCATTTTGTGGCGGGAAGACCAGTCCAGTCCTATTACGGTCTTTGAGTTAAACACTAATACCTATGGACTTAAGTCGAGCCCTTTTATTGCAATTCGCACTTTGTTAGAATTGGCTGATCGAG